ACAAAACCTTGTTGAAACGTTGTACATTTGCTGTTATGTTAAACTTATATTAAAGTTTTTCTTCATTACCCATCCAAGCCGTCTCCAAGCATTATTAGTCTCAAAGTGGGTTCCTCGTAATCGAATTTGACGTATGTATGTTCATCAAACTACAGGACAAACTGACGTATGTATGTTCATCAAAACTACAGGACAAACTGACGTATGTATGTTCATCAAAACTACAGGACAAACTGACGTATGTATGTTCATCAAAACTACAGGACAAACTGACGTATGTATGTTCATCAAAACTACAGGACAAACTGACGTATGTATGTTCATCAAAAATACAGGACAAAATGACGTATGTATGTTCATCCAAACTATTGAAATCAAAACTTCACCCCCCTCCCCTTAGTGGCTCATCAGTAAGTTTAAAGATTTATTACGATAAATCTGAGTTTCGATACCCGTACAGACAGATAGATACGGTCTGGTCATGAAACAATTTTTTATATTTTTAATGCGTTAATATATCAAAGGAAATTTAATTTGCTGATATTTGATATCTTAACTTATATTGACACAGTGGGTTTAAAGTCCGGATTAAGACGATTTTACACGTATCAACTTGAAGTTTATTAATTCATATAAAAACCAACAAAGTATATATATATATATATTAATGTAGCACAGATATCAGTTGCATATAAAATCATATCGAATACTGTATATTTTGAATTCAAAAATAATGAAACGGAAATTAAGAAAATTCCAACAGGTATTATCATTTTATAGACCAGTACTGTTCACGTGAAAGACCACAGGAAAAGAAAAAAAAAATCATGCTTGAAAAATTGGCAGACCCTCAATACGCCCATCGTAGAAACAGTATTAAAAACCAATCAGCGTTGAATACAGAGTTACGTCACCGTTTTACGATCCAAAGTACAAAAGGGTCATAGTTCTGTTGCCTTTCGCATCTCCGTGTTTATGAGGTAGAAGAAATCTTTTATCAAAAACAGGTGTGTAGCTTTTCCGGAATATATCATGTGCCGGATGTGTTGGTTTGGCGCGTGCAGGCTCATGCTGTTCACGTGCACACGTATTACAGAAGGTAAGCATTGATGCGTTTGTCTGGTATCTCTCTCTCTCTCTTGCTAAGGGAAAGCACGTGTAAACTGATCGATCACATGGACGATCACACGTTAACTGAGCATGCTCAGAACAGGGAAGTTTATCTCGATGATTTTCGATAACGGTTCTTACTCCTACGTGCTGCTTCAAAAATATGTTGAAAACATATTTCATGCCAGAATAATAATAATTTCTAACGTTATAGTAGCAGACTGTATTATCCATATAACTTTAATCGTTGGAAGAGAAGTCACCACATCATAAGCTTTCATT